CGTATTAATAGGCTTTCACTGTGGAAGAAAGAATTGGATGCTCTGTTATACTGCACTCTTCATGTGGCAGTAACTCATTCCTCCACATAATAAATCCACATTCAGTTTGGATGAACCCCAGCTGAAATTCTAAGACTGAAAACACTTGAAACCTTAATACAGATTTGAACTGCTTGCACTCTGAGCTGAATGAAAGCTTTGAATCCACATGCATGTGAATCTTGGGGAAGTTCAGAGCTAATTGAAGGCTTTAGCCTGGTGTTTATAATAAATTCTGATTTTGGAGGGACAGGATACTCTTCAAATAGCCAAGGATGTTTTTGTAATTTGGAGGCACAAGAGACTTGCACTTAAGAATCAGAGAAGTACTTTTGAAAATCCCACCCATAAGGGATATTAATGAAAGAGGAAGAAATATGTGCATAAAAGGTCAAAGATATAAGGCTAACAGAAAACAGAAGTCTCTACTGGTAAAACCCCTGATAACAAGCAACAGGAATGTGCTATGGAGTTAACTTGTCAAAAGGCATGATGCTTTCTTGGCAGAAGAGCCCTAAATAGCTGTGATGACTTACTTCACATTGGGCTGAATTACTTAGTGAAAGCAGAACGGTCCCTGGTGAGCTAAGTAAAGCAAAGGGGGTTGCTGTATAGTCCTGTTAGTTGGAGTCTAGACTGCATCCCTCCCCTTCACTGGGAATCCAAAATCTTTCGGTTGACGTAAACCCTTGGTGTTGCCTCAGAAGGGACCGAGAGAGCAAAGGAAGGTGTCTTTGTGGGCATGAATATTGGTCATGGATGAATGTGTCAGACATTTCACTGAGAGTCAAGCCTCTTGTCTGAAAGCTTAAATATAAACCAAGTTACAGTAAGCACCAGTGAGAGATGAGGTTGAGGAGGACAGAGGTTTAATTTGTCTTTCTTCCATTTCTTAGCCTGATGATACTAAAGGGAATAAAAAGAAATAGCATGGGGATAGATTTTCTTTTTTTTTTAACTCAGTGGTAATAGCAAGCATAATAAAAACATTTGCGCATTTTTTTTCTTCTTTTCAAGACCCTGCAGAAGTTTTGGTGAATTATGATTGCTCTCAAGAAGAGACTGATTCTTCAGAGAACACCTTGCACCCAGACTTTGCAAAAGTAATGGATGTTATGTTTATCTTTACAAGCTTAGTGGAAAGTGCTACCTAGGTGAAAAATGCCTGCCAATATGATGCTGTGAAAGGTTTGAAAATATAGTACAGCCCGTCATGATTGTTAGAGCCACAACAAATGACAGAATAATTTTCTTTCTGAACAGCTGATGGCTTTGTTTAAATGCGAAAAGCTCCACTGGATTGAAAGAAAGTAGGTGCTCCCTAGAGTGGTTTGATTTAGACCTGTGACGTCAGTAAGGGTCTGGTCCCCGCAGTTATCTGCGAAATAAATAAGATAGATTGGGGGGTTAGACTAGATGGCCTCTACAGGTCCCTTCCAACCCAAAGCATTCTATAATTCTATGAAACGTTTACTCTTTTTAACTACACTTCAGAAGAGTTTGGCCCTTGGAGAGCCAAGATTTCCTATGTGACTTGCAAGGAAACAAGTTACGAACTGCTCATCACCTTCTGTAATTTCATTGAAAGATGCATGTAGTACCAGGGGAGGCGTTTTTTCCTCTGGACCTCGTAAACTGCTTCATGTGGATGAGATAATTGTAGACAGTGCTAAGAAGCTTTCTGATGAAAAGCTAGATTGGAAATATTTCACTGTTTTTTCTTAAATGAATGTATGATCTGTTTGTAATCTCTGTCAGAGAGGTGCTGTCTAGCTACACAGCCAAATGCTATTTGAGGATGTTACTCCCACAGATTTGAATTGAAAGCTGTATATGCAAATGAGGACTGAATTTGGTCTACATTTTACTGGTCACCTAGGATTTAAAAAAAAAAAAAAAATCAAAACAACCAGGTAAAATGTAACTGAGTTTATGTATAAAGGACAACAGTAGTATCCAATTGTCTCATCTGTGAATAGATACTTTTTAATGGTTTAGTTAATAGACATATCTCAAAGGTATCTTAAATATGTCTCAAAGACCACTGGTGGCCTGCAAGGCTAAAATAGATGGTCTGCATGTTGTGCAACATCTGTATCGCCCTTTATATGCTCCATTCTTGTTCCCCCTGCCTTTCCCTATAAGCCTGGCTGCAGCAGTGATCTGTGGCCTGTCCCTAGTCCACAGCAGGTAAATCTCCTGATCCCATCTCTACCTAAACCAGTACACCAGGGACACATGAGGACATGCTTCTGCAAGCCAGCCTGTGGGTAGGGCATGCCTGGAAGTGAACACAGAGCTCTTGGTCTTGCTGTGCTGCTTCTGCTTGTTAGTTAATGTGTGTCAGCAATGTCATGCTGTTGCAAAAAACACAAAACATTGAATGAGACCTGAACAAGAAGAGCATAGCCTGTACCATGTCAGCTACAGTATGTACTTAGTCTTGGGCAACCAGGAAAGTTGTGAACTCTGCTAATAGTTCAGAGATTTAAAAAATGAAGAAAATTTAGGAAAAATAAAATGTGAAGAAAGACTGAAGGAATTGAGCACATTCAGGCTGAGAAAGGTTTCAAAGATATCATGAGGGATCTGTAAGGGGAAGGGAACCTCTAGGGCGTACTTCACATGTTGAATGAATGGGCTTAAATAGTGGGGAAAAAATTATCAAAGTTAGACATAAGGATGAGCTTTTAGAAGGCAGGGTAGGAAAGCACCAGGTGGCTTCAGGAAGTTGTTGTGTTAGTTTTATCAGAGAGCTTATTAATAACTTAGGCATATGTCCATCAGAAATAAAATGGGTGGCAGAAGGATGGACAGGGAGAGGAATCCCACCCTTACCTTTGGGAGGCACACCACAATCTGTGTGTCCGTCCACCTGTAAGGCTGGGCTGCGTTTCCCTGCTCCCCTTTCTGCCCTCCCTCTGACACAACTGCTTTAATGTGGGGCTGATTTTTTTTTTCCCCCTCAACTCGGGAATCCCTAAAGTGATTTTAGTGCAATGATCCACCATTCTGACATCTTACACAACGGATTCTTTAGTAATATATATGACCTTGAACTACTAATTCATCTATTTTGGGGTTCCTTAGAAGTATGTCGTGGTCTGAAAATCCCTGCTTCACAAACCTTCAAAGAGCGCTTGAAGGTGCTTTGGGATAACTACTGCAGAAATGAGAAGTGTTGTTACAAGTGAAACATTGATCATTCATTTAGCAGTCTAACAACTCTATGGATTTCTGTTCCTGTGCAGAAAACTAATTTATTATCTGTCACCACAGTACATCACAGAAACAGAAGAAACGGTGAAAGCCTCTCGAAATATAGAGCGACTGAATCTTTTCTCTTTGGATCCTGATATAGCAGTAAGTGAAATTTCTTTTTTTTCAAGTTCTTAGACGTTTTAAGATCCAGGTGGTCTGAGCTAAGCCACCACAGTGGATTTGAGTTCAGCAAGCAACTGGATATACCCAAGACTTCAGCTTTGAAGGGTGAGGGGAGCTATCTCCACTTTGTAGAGATTTCTGTATAGACTCTACCCGTATCTGATCACGGAATGGTTGAGGGTAGAAGTGACCTCTGGATGTCATCTAGTTGAGTCTAGCTAAACTTTGAATTGTTAAAGAAAACTGAAAATATTACAAGAGCAGAACCTTCTGTTGGACTGGGAATGTTACAAGAACAATATTTTTATTGTTACTCACAACACTGAATTTGATTACAAAACCGTGAATGGATAAAAAAGTAGTGGGAAGGTACAGTCGGAAGTACAAAAGGCTGTCTATGTGAAAAAAAAGTTTAGCTTAAAATGTAGGAAGTGCAGGTTGCTTTTCTTTTTATCTTCAACTTGCTAATCATTTAGTGTCACAGAGTTCATGATTCAAAGAATGTTATTCCTTGCACTGGATGTACATTTGTTGGTGATTTAACTGGAAACTTTATTTTAGTTAAAAAGACGACTTAAGGAAAATCGGGATCAGTATATATTCAAACTTGAACTTGTTGTCAATCAACTGTAGTGCCATTATTAAAATTATTAATCAAATTGAAATAGTGGTGTGGTGTGTAAGTAAGGAGAAAGGAGGGGAAAGGTCTGAAATCTAATCCTAAAATGTGGTGTAATAATCTGAAAATGTGAGGCTGTTTAATCCATATGAGGAAATTAAAAACTAAAATTTCAGAAGCAGTAAGTAAACAAGAAAAAAATCTGCTCTAAAATTACAGGAAACCTAACTTGGATCCCTAATTCTGCCTATGACATTATAAATGTCCTCAGGCAATCTTTTTGATTTGCTTCCTAATCTATAAACTGGGAATAACATTTACTTGTAGCAATGTGAAGATATCATCAGTGACTTTTTGAGGTTGTCAGGTGTTTAAGTGGTTTTCAAGACCTTTAAAAAGCTAACTTAGTTTTGGAATGCTGTGCTTTTCCCATGTATAACAAGTCGCGCAACTTATTTCAGTCACTGAATTCTCAGAAAAAGGAGTTTCCAGGGACAAATTCAGTGGTCAAGCCATTTGAAGAAAAGCCTGCAAAGAGGATCCTGATAACTTGCAAATCCCTCAGTTTGAATCTCCAGGCCTGTGTTACTGAAAATGAAAAGGATCCTTCAACCAATGTAAGCTTTATGGTTTGGGTTTTGCCCCCTGCAATTTTTCTTCCCCCCCCCTCCTCCCCCGTTCTGTGCACCTGTTACTTTGGAAAGGGAAGGCAAGAGGAAAGCTGTATTACACACACACACTGCATTCACTTCTCCTCTGCCCATCCCTTTGGATTGAATAATGAAATTGATGAACTTTTCAATAAACATTTTGAAGTTGGTTTAGACTGCAGACTTTTAGTTTACAGTTCAATGGGGAATTAAAAATGTTAAAATACTTGAGGATTCTTAACAATTGCTCTAAGAAGAGCGAGTTTAAACTGCCAAGACCTATGTAGGGAGGCAACTGAATGTCAGTTGCTGGTGAGCTGGTTTGGGGTTTTTTTTTCAGAGAGAGACCAGGAACCAAGCAGATTAAATTACAGAAGAGAAGGCAAAATAGAAAGGACTGGGTGCTTCATCTAGTGGAAAAGCCCAGCTAAAACCAAGACAAACCAGAAAATTTTGCTTATACTTACTTTAAGAAAAAAGGGCAGGGAAAAGGGAGATGTAGCTGTCAGTCCATAGTTTTTAGTTAGTACTCCTCTGAAGCAACAAAGTTTTGAGAAATTAGTGTCCTGGCAACTCAATTTTCATACATTACATATAAGGCATTGATTTATTTATTTATTTATTTATTTATTTTTCATTTGAAGGTGACCTCTACAGTGAGTGCATATTCAGCATGATGTAATCAATACTTCCTTTTGGCAAACTGGAACAACAGTTTAAATGAAGTCATGATAATTGTACCAAGGGCATGCAATAATTTACTACAGAGGCTGAAAAAGCATAGAATATTGTACCTGCCGTGTATTGTTCCTTATCTCCAAAGTTTTAAGATTCTGATTTCTGGACAGCTCAGAAGGTGTTATTCTGAGACTGATTTATTTCATCAGAACTACGGAGGCTTTTTGGAGGTTACTTAGAGTCATAGAACCGAATTCCCTGGTACTATGCAATAGAATAAGTGGGTACTGTCAGAGCAGTTTGAATGCTCTTGGTTTCCTAGCAAAATGGAACGTGTGTTTCCCACAGAATAATACACCCACGCATTTGTGTTCATACCCATAAACATTTTCCATCTATTTATATTTATCATCTTTGTGCCACATTTCTGATGATCCCTGGAAAGCCCACCCTCACTCTTCTTTCTTTTATAATTATTCTGAATCTACATTTTAAAAATCCTGTAACATATTTTTCTGGGGCTCTATTCATTTACTTTAGTAATTATCTCTGACAAATACAATTGGGTTTTATTCTGCGAGTTTCCAAGTGAGCTGTCAACTACTGTTCTGGTGCATTGTTTACAAACTACCTTTAAAAGCCCCTAAAATCACGTGGTTGGAAACCAACTGGGGGGGGGGGTAGGGGTGACTGTGTTTTTCATGAATCTCATAATTTGTAAATAATATTGGTTTGCTTTCTTTTTTTCTAGCTGCAGGCACCTATTAAAAGATAGAGTTTACCCCGTTGCTTTCAGTTGCCACTATATTGTTTTTGGTGTTTTCTCCAGGTAGAGCCTTTCTTTGTGAGCGTGGCGCTGTACGATGTCAGGGATGGCAGGAAGATCTCTGCTGACTTTCATGTGGACTTGAATCACACACTCGTTAGACAGATGATTTCAGGTTCATCATTTTCATTAGAAAATGGCACTGTTGAAAATACAGACTCAAATGAAATGGAAGAACCACAGATCAAGGGGTTCCCAGAAGAATGGCTGAAATACCCGAAACAGGTATTCCATGTGCGACTTGCATGACTTAGTGACTTGTGTGACTTATTTTAGTTCAGTAGTAGTATTCATTTTCATCAGAGAATTTATCTGTACTACCAGTGGTTCTTGTTTTCAAGAATACTCTTATTTTGTGTATCAGTGGTACTTGTATACAGATGCTTGACTTTTGAGCTCCCTGTATAGACTTTAAAACCATTTACAATCAAAAGTTTGAAAAAAGTTAGTGCCTGTTATTTGGAGAAACCACCATGTTTCCTGTGGTCTTTGGGTTCATTTGCTGACCTCTTCCAAACCAGCCACACAAAATCACAACTTAAAGCGACACCTAGATGCTGCATTAATCTTGAAGTACTTCCACATTCATGCTTTTGCTGTAAACCTTACCCCGAAACTCCATACATTACCTTTTTCTTCTCCCTGCCATTCCCCTGAGGTGTGAGTGATTTAGGCCAGCATTTAAGTACTGTCCAAGAGGAGCAGTTAGGTTAGGTGATGCTAATGTGGTCATACTGCTTCTTGAGCAGTACATACAAGCTTACATACATACAAGCTTTCTTCAGCACTAGCACAAAGATTTTATTTTCCATCTGGCTGTACTGAATATGTAGAGACAATAATCCTCAATAGACCTTTCCAAATTTGGTTTGTTACTGTTTCCATCAACAGAGAGGACTGGCAGTATTTCATTTCTCCAGTATTGCCATATACTTTTTAATTTTTCTCTTCTATCCACAGGCTCTTTTCTCCATAAGTAATCCTCATTCTGAGATTGTATTAGTGGCAAAAATAGAAAAGGTGCTTACGGGAAACATTGCCAGCAGTGCTGAACCTTATATTAAGAATCCTGATTCTTTTAAGGTAATGTAACAGGAACATCAGTTCCTTCTTTGTCAGCTTCAGCCTATTGGAAGCTGGAGACATTGCAAATTGTGCTCACAAATCTCACCAGTGTGTGGTTGCTTAACAGGACAAGCTCACAGGAGGCTCACGCCTAAGAAAGCAAATGTCCAAGCTCCATTGACTGACTGAATGAAGTACCATTTTGTCTGCAACATACGAATCCATTCATGGTGCATTCCTATGCTAGTTACGTCTTAGCAGAGTGAAATTCTCTTTCAGCAGTCTTTTAGAAATTATGAGTTAGTGCACTTTGCATACAAGCAAAGTTGGGGTGGGTACCTGTTTCTCTCTAAGAGCAGGCAGTGCATCTGCATTGGGTGTATTACAGAAAACTGGAAAAATAACTGTAACTAACCCAGTTCTGGCTGAAGGGATGGTGAAGGGGTTTTACTCATTAGCAGCATCATATTAACCTGTGATGTCTTTGCTGTCCACCCAGAACCTTCTGTTATGGACACCATCAGGCTGAATTATTTTAGGGACACTGTAGCCTCTTCAGCAGAGGAGTAGTTGGATGTACTCTGTGCTGCATTTCAGATATTCTAATGATACTGATGAAATAATTCCTATTTTCTTTTTTTTTGTAGTGTGCACAGAAAGTGTTAAAATCCAATAAACAGTTCTGCAGCAAGCTGGGGAAATACCGTATGCCATTTGCTTGGTCAGTGAGGTATGTATTAATTCTTTTTATAATTTTATAAGCATCTTATAGTTTATTCTGCTCTCAGACTTGTATCCTTTTATTCTTTTCCACTTTTTCTGCCTGAAGCTAAGCAAAGCATTCTGCATGATCCAGGACCCCAGAAGATCCTGCATCTTTATTATTTTACTGCCCTATTTTTCACACAGCTGAACGTTGGTTACTTTCTCATTAGACATTACTATGGTGGTATCTTTTCTTCAGGTATGTGATGAAGTTTCCAGAGAGTAGGAAAGGTGGCTGACAGAATATCAATTCATCATGAGCTCCACCAGTGATTTCATGCTAAAAATTACCAGAGAGATTTCAAAGTCACAGTTCTCACAAGAATTTCCTACAAAGATAATTAATGTCTGAAACAGAGTTGCGATGGCCACCTAAAATACAGGTGCACAAGTTGGAAGCTCTGTTATTGTTACGAAGCCTGTCAGGTTTTAGGAAAAACCTAACCAAGGATTTGGAGGTTATGGTGCCCCTGAAACAGTGCCTTGGGGTGATATTGAGGGATTATGCTTCAGGTGTCCTTGCATTTTTAGTGGTTAGTAGGTGACAGAGAACTGTTATTTTCTTGTCTGGCAGGTCAGTTGGGGTTTATTGCAGGACAGTGTGGGGGCAGTAATGGATTTTTGTTCTTCCTCTCTCTCCTCTTAGATAATGTCTTACTGGTCTCACCCTCAAGATTGAGGCACCCTCTTGATCGTCTTCTATCAAATTAACTCACAAAACCAGATACGGCTTTCTTCTTTTTGTTCTCCATTCAAGTTTTCATGCAATTCCTTTCTCTGTCCTCTCCAGTTTTTCCTTCTCAGTCTTCTGTAATTTCCTCAGCTTACTGCTGCCCTGGGATGAGAGCTCCCTGACTGAGACCCTCCTGTGTGTCCCTGTGACAGCTCTCCCTTCTTTCTGTTATGTGTAGAGCAGGGAATATAATATTTTATAATGTCTAGAAAAAGGAAAGCTGTCAATTGCCAAGTGAAAGCATTCCTTCTCCTCCTTCTCTCCAGCTTCTGTTCTGACCGTGGCGGGCCAGGTGGAGAGCTGCCTGAAGCTGTAGGGAAGAAGGAGGAGGAGTGCTAGGTGAAAAAGTTGCATTGAGGCATTGTCCATGACTGTGAGGGATGGCTGTATGGCTGTGTGCTGCTGGCGTGGAGGTACGGAGCACCAGAATTGCAGAGTTTCCCCTGCTGCGCATAAGGGAAAGCTTACAATTTTAGAATATGGTGCTTAGATGGCAAAGGAGAAAACACACGGTAAGGTATGCCATTTGAAGAGTTCATTTATCTTTTATTGGCATACATTTTTGTCAATGTCCAGTAGGAACGGGAGAAGTACGTGCATGCTCAAGAGAAAGGCAGATAATGTGTTCTGATCTGTCATCGCAAGCCCAAGGATACTCATTAATATTTACTACTTCTGTGTAGCCAAAGGACCATTCATCAGAATTGTATTGATGGGTGCCTCTTGGGTTTACAGAGCTACTTTTAGCGCGTAATGGACTGTGCAATGGCAAGAGGTGCAGGCTTGGCATAAGACTGACTTGAGGCTTTTTATTAACTCTGTCCTGCCTGCCTGTGGTCTGTGGTGGTTCCATCAGTGGTATGTCCTGCAACTCAGTCAGTGCTGTAGCTGTCTTAGGTGACATGATGATTTTAACTAGTTCAGGGTCTGGCTAGTCACACTGGCTAAAACTTTCTTCTGCATCTTCAGCAAATCTTAGAGTGTTTCTTGCAAAAAAAAAAAAAAAGTACAGAAAGGTTTTCTTCTTACTTTGAAGGAAGTGCATTTCCCTTACATAGGATTCTCCAAGCAGCAGCCCTTGGTTGCCTCTCGGTGAGAGGGAGCAGGTGGAAGGAGGGTTTGAGCTGTGCTGTGCTATACTGGCAGGCAGATGCTGGGCTCTGTATGTGCCGCAGCTGTACTGCTCAAGTGCGTTGCGTAGTACTGTGCCTCGGCCCAGAATTGCGGCTGCAGGTCTGCACTTGCTCTGCCTAAGAGAAGTCTAACAGACGCGAGTGAAGTTTTACTTCTGTCCCTGCAAGGTGGATAGCACCTTAAATGCCTGTCAAGCTAGGGTGCACTGAGAAAATGGTGCATTTCAGAAGATTCTCCTCTCCTTTCAGTTCTGTGTTATTTCAGGTATTTTATCATTAAAATACCAGTTGGCAACTCCTTGGTCATCTCAGATGTAGTATAATAACTGCATAAATTTATTTTTTAATAACAAGCCACATTGATTTGGAGTAAGGAATAAAATCTTGATTAGATCAAGCTTGGTTACTAAAAAGTGCTCCACCGGCTTTAAACCTGCATGTGAGTTTTTTGAGTTCCAGTAACGTGGTGTATGATAGCAGCAGCTTCCAGTCACCACAGCCATGTGAGCAGAAGTGTTTCTATGGGTGGATTGCTCTACTTTACTACTCATGCTGCTGCTGCACCCAACAGTACGTATTAGGTAAATGGACAGAGATTTTTCTTTCTGGAATTCCATGGAAAATGGTTAATTGGCACAGGCTGGAATGTTGCAAAGGACATAAGGCAGGACAAGAGCAATAGAGCTCTGTTTGAGAGGAGCTTGCTTGTGTTATGCTCAGTACAGCGGGTATGGGAATACCTGGGAGTCTGAGCCTTCCTCAGTTTCCTTGAGAGTTTTTGACAATGGAAACCCTTGGCTCTAGTCCCATACTTTTCCAGTTTCAGAGATGGCAGTGACTTGTTTCACTGGATTTTCTCTCCAAAATTACAGGCTTCCTTTTCAATGTGCAGTCCACAGTCTTAGAAAATAGGTTTGAAAAGACCTCCGCATCATACTATATTTTTGCTTTCCCTAGGACATGATCAAATCATTCCTAAATATGTTTCTCTAGCCAACATTTCTGGCTGTGATTTCCAAAATATAAATGGGAATATATATTTGTGGTGTTAGCAAACGCACAGCAAGTTCAACATCTTGCAGACTTACGGTGTGTGCATTACACAAATGGCCTGCACATGGGCAGAGGACATAGCTGGGGTTTGTGGACATCCCTCAGTTCCAGCAGGCAGTATTTTTGGATGGCATCCTAATTCAGTGTTTCATTGCCCATACCATTAAAAAGCTTCCCTCCTATCTGTAGAATTAATTATAGAAAATATACCTGGGTGTGTTTATCAGCTTTTAAACTTTTTCATTATAAATCACATTATGAGATAACATAGTTTAGAAATCATTGACCAAATATACCACGTGTATGAACTTGTTGGTATCGGTGATGTTGCACAAGGAATTTATTTAGTTCATTGAGTCAAATTCTGCACTCAATCTTTTTATATATTAACATTACTCAGGACTCTCTTTGGTAAAAGCAAAGTATAATTTGGCCCTATAAAATCTATTTCTATTTTCACAGCTTGAAAATAGAAGTTTCCACAGGAGGCTGTCTTACTACAGGGGGAAAAAATGGTTTGGCTCTGATAAATAGCAAAACCCTGGGTTTGGAAACATGTTTTCCAGTTATTTCATTCTGGCATTAACCACACTCCTGTTTTTGTATGGAAATTTTCTCCCCTTAAAGCAGTTGCAGATGGCCACAGTGTGCTTTTTACGTATACATTCAGCGAGCCAAAACCTTGACAGTTGAGTACTGTGCATGTGACTGAAACTCTTAATTGGCTTATGTGGCATCCAGTTCGTTAGCATCACTCAAAAGCATGACTCAGGGTTCCTCCCTGATTTCTTGCTGGCATTGGTGGGATCTGGTGTCTGGATGCTTTTGCAGGTATAATTACAGTATGTGTTAGAATTACAGGGTGTCAAATCCATCTTCCATTCTCATATTCCTGCCAGAACTGCCAAAGTTTGCAAATATATGCCTGAGCTACATATTGTAGATGTGGGGAAACTTCACTCACAGAGATTAGTTTTTACACTCTACTATTCCTTCAAACCTTCTCCACCCTCGTAAACTTCATGTTTTAGAGCCTAATATTTGAATCCTTCAACAGCTTGTGCAGCTGCTGGTTCAGTTCTCAGCTGGCATAGGTTGATGCAGCTGAAGGTAGTGAGGCTGCATTGATTTACAGTAGCAGCAGATCTCACACTGAATTCTCTAACCCTGGAGGTGAGCAATTTTTCCACAAATCATAAGCCACTACTTAAAAAGTAGCTTTTTCAAAGTTCAATTATAAACATTGTGTAGGTTTTCTGTGCTTAAAGGATTTTTATGATTGTCGACTATCAGCTAACGATGTCGGAACAGCAGAAATGTAGAAACACTTCAAATACTGAGATGATGTTTCAGTTTCTTTATTGAAATCTGTTAATTTGTTTTCCCCTGGATTAACATCTTCAGAATCTCTTCAGGATTTTAGTTCTGTGAAATTTTTCTTATTAAAATCTCTCTGGTAAACAAATAACCAGCAGTAAAGGATCTTACTACTTATATTAGACAGATATTGGACTCCTGGATTGTAGAAGTGTTCTATTCGGTTTCCTTTTCTTTGATGTGATGGTTGTCATTCTCAAATGCCTTCAGTATGTTCACTGTGACAAGGAGTACTCTTGCTCCTCCTGCGCCCAGCAGCCTGGAAGGATCTAGCAAAACATGGGATTGCGGTTACTTAACTGCAGACATAATACGTGTAATGCTTGCTGCTCTGGCAGTTCTTCAGCTTTAAATGAGCCAGGGGAATGAAGACACCAGTACAGTTTGACCAGCAGAAAGCCATCTAACTCTTCCCTGAGTGCATAACAGCTGTTTTTAAGAAGGGTTATCTTGTTTTCAGTGAACATCTAAATTGCTCTTGTAGTGGCAAGAGCTTTACATAAATGGAGTATTGTGTGTAAGTTGGAGGGATAAAAATACTTACCTGTTTTGTATTGCGGATGCTTGGTTTCATGCCTTTAATTTTGTCCTGGGTCTATTATTTAGGCTGGGATATGCTGCTGAACTGATGAGGAGCACTTCTAGAAATAGGGCATATGATACCCAGGGAGCACTGATGCTGGGAAGTTGTTGTTGTAGGCAGGAGGACTCTGTAAAGCCCTTCTTGACTCCAAACCAGAGAGGACGGAGGGGAGGAGGTGACAATGCTGTGCCCCTGAGCCACCCAGGAGGCAGTGCTCAGTGCTCAGCACCAGTGATCCAGAGTGAGCTACTTTCAGCACAGACCTGGTTCTTTTTACTTTTACACTGTGAGCATCCCCAATTGAGCCTTGGTAAGTGCCCCTACACCCTGCTGTGCTGAGCAGTGGTTTGCTCGGTGTCAGACCCTGTGCTGGAATTAGTTAATAAGCTCCAGCAGAGCCTGGGTTTGCTCAGCATCACGTTGCAGAGCCCAGTCGCGCAGTGGAAATCACTCACTAAACGTTTTAGTCCTCTCTGTTAGTCTGGAAAAGGAAGCAGTGCCGAGTCCAAGAAATATCATAGTGTCACCAATACTGTAATAATTATTAAATCTTATCTTTTTCCTTTCTTTTTTTTTTTCCTCACAGCAGTTTAATAGGATTTGTAAAGTAAGTGGTGGCTGCCAGAAATTAGGTCTGGTTTCTCCCTAATAACTTAAGATTTTTGACATGGTGTGTTGGTGTGGACCTTACTCCTTCTAACTGCTGGAGGCAAAAATCTGATAGGAGAGAGCTGATTATTTTCTACAGTTACAGAGAAATGAAATACTGGTGCTTCTCTCAGTTAATTAAGTTAAGACACAGTACATTTATACTTATCCTTGGGATCCTCTTCCAAAGGTTTGCTCCATTATTTTGCATCTGGCAACAATTTGTGCTGGCATCAATTCTTCTTCTTACTGGCAGTGGAACAGAGAAGTAAATTAAGGAAGCAAGATTGGCCAAATGATTCACAGAACAGCACTTAGTGTCAAGAACATTTTACTTTTGTTAAGCAATGGTTTTGCATACTACAGTTGAATCCAAGGTTCATTGATTTGGATAGCTGTTACATTATCCAGTCCAGCCAGCGTGTGTGACCCGTGGGGATGTACAAAGGGCACTGGAATGTTGTGTGCACAACAGCTGATACTAACTGTTCCCAGTTTTTCCATTTCATTTGGCACTTTGTAGCTGGTTCACCAAAAACTTAGTCAATGCTCCACAAACTTGTTTTGTGCAGGAAGGCTAAGCCCCAGTGAGCTGGTGTCATGCTCCTGGAGGACACAGAACAGATCTAATGCATAGGAAGATTCAGTAGAGGTCTCTTAACCTCGTTCTGCAAAAGCATACATTTCTTTACGCAGTGAGAGGTAGTGGTTGGGATTTGACATCGTGCTATGATTTCTGTTATTTAAAATTATCATGATTTTCATTCAATAATAAATTCTTGGATGAAATTACCTGTTAATGTAATGAATTCTTCAAAATGCTTCCTTGAAATAAGGAGTTGGTCTCCTTGTTGAAGTGAGGAGTCATGTCCTTGATGTGAGCAAGGCAGTAAAGTCTCATCAGGCTCTTGGGGCAGTGGCTCCCAGCCAGGGATGGCCTCTCTGGGGCTGCCCCAAGAGCTTGCTGAGAGGCTGGAGAAGGTGGCCTTGCGGCCAGGGTGATGGAGGGGCGGGTAGGAGCGGAGAGCTGCCTTCAGTGAGGTGCTGTGCACTCCAGGCTTTCTCAAGTGAGACTTTGCTACAGAAGAGGGGGAAAAAATGTTGGATGCTGAACTATATGGTGATCTGTTCTAACATTAAACCCCAGCAACTCCAAACCGTGAGCAGTCACACTGCACCTAAGGTCAGTGGGGACTATGCATCGTGTAAGATTAAACAAGGTCTTGAGTCTTTGCAGGGTTGGGACTGCGCATGCGAGTAAACTTTAATTGCCTCTGCTCCTGCAAATGTACAGCTTGGAAGAGCTTTCTTGTGTGAAGCTCTACAGGGCTCTGAAGCTCTGAATTTGTATAAGAATTCGTAACCTTGTTAAAATATTACATGACAATTTCAAATGTTCAAATATATTTACGGCTGAGTGTTTATAAACATGGCATTTCTCTTTCTTTATAGACCAGTGTTTAAAGATAATCAGGGAAACGTTGACAGAGACTCCCGATTCTCACCTTTATTCAGGCAAGAAAGTAATAAGATTTCCATGGAAGATTTGATTAAACTAATAGCAGAATACAGAAGGTAAGGAAGGGTTTTTAACTTGGTTTGAGAAGAAATAAAAGCTTTATAAAGCTGTGCAGAATAATTTTCATAACTTTTTTTCCTCATTTAACACAGTGTGCCAAAGTGGCCATATTAAATTAGTGTTTTTCACATTAGCGTATTACCTGCCAAAGAGAGCTTTTAGATTGGACTTCCCAGGAAAACTGAAATGTTATTTGGCACGTTAATAAATGTTATTGTAGGCTGAAGGTAGTGATTCCTTACATTAGCTTCCATCAGGGGAGATGCAGGTGAAGTAACCAACAAGAGAACATTATCTCAGGGGAAAAAAAAGGGGGGGGGAGGAGGGGATGTGGGGGGAAGAGAGAAAAAAAAGAAAAAGCATTCTTTAATGGTTTCCCCACTCCTTGCTTTTGTTTGTTTGAGTCTCCATGACAAACTGCAGAGTGGACATTGGAAGGAAAAACTTCTCCAAATGGTTGACAGTGTGTCAGTTAGTGAGTAGCAGTTTGGCTGGATAGTCATAGGTGTAAATCAGGCTAATTCTAGAGCAGAGGCTTTGTTTATACTAGATAAATGACATGAGAATTGAACCATGAATTTCTTGCTGTCCCTTCTACTCGAAGTGTGCCTAGAAATGAATTAATCTAATTAACTTCTGTTCCATTTATATAAAATCAGATCATAGAAAGATTGAACGTCAGCTACAGTGATTGGATCACATCCTTCATTTCTTGTGCCGTCTTACTGTTACTGGTCAGGAAACTTTACTGAAATTCTCACTACTCTTATTAGAGTCACCACTGCTGGGTTTGTCTATCTAAAGCATCTCCTAGATAAAAGGAATTTAGCTTCACATTTTTGGCACTTCTTAAATTGCTTGGGCACAAGGAATATGTCTTGGTCCCTTTTCAGTATGGCACTTGCAGAAGCCATGATGCTGTGAACTCATCTCAGTAGTCATTGAATTCGTTTTAGGGAACATTGATTCAGGTTTTAGAAAGAAAAAGTGGGTAAGTTAATTCTCATAAGGTTTGGGTCATCAGTTTCTTCCTCTTCTACAAGATATGCTGTAATATTGCTTGCAAAGAGAAAGCAG